CCCACATATTACAACTAGAAGGACCCATAACTAAAATATACAACTATGTACCCGGGGGATTTGGGGAGAAAAAGCAGGAAAAAAAAAAAAAAAAGATTGGGAACAGTTGTTAGCTGAGGTGCCAGCCTTTAAAAAAACAAAAAAGAAAAAGAGTTGATGCCTGACACCGTGTGCTCTCTTGCCCTGTCTGCTGGCTGGATGATGCTAGAACAACCTTAGAGTGATGAGATGGAGGAGCACCCAGATGGCACCAACTGGGTCTTTGTGGGGCACTTGGAAGACCCGCCCAGGAGAGCCACCAAACAGGAATGTCTGCTTGGAACTTCACATGAGCAGAAGTAAACTTACATTTTATTAACCTGGGGAGATTTGGCATTGTTACAGCAGTTAACTTAGCCTACAAATACCAAAATTGTTCTTATTGGCGCTTTCCCGGCATGATTTACAATATGCACCGTGTGAATTAATATAGTTTCCAAAGCGAGTACAGATGAAACTAAGAAACACCAGTGATTTATTCATCAAAGTATTTCCATTTTAAATGCAACCAGAACTTTGCAGAAATGATAATTTAACTTATTACTTACAGCAGAGACTCTGCTACCCCAATTGTTAGTTTCCAATCAGAGACAGTGTGGTGGTTTAAAGTTTGGGGTTAAGAATCCAACAGACTGGGATTAGAAGTTTAGCAGTGTAATCTTGACCAGTTAGTTAATCTCTCAAAACCTCAGTTTCTTCATCTGTAATTTGAGACAAAGGGGTTTTGAGAAAATTAAGTGACAAACACAATGTGTGCTGGCACTCAGTAGTATGTGTAGCACATGCTAAGAGTCCAGTTTTGTTACTTTCAAAGGGAAAAATAAGAGCACTTCAGGCTCTGTGTTCTTAAGCTAGCCTCTGATGCTCTTCCATGGGAGTCTGCCTGTCGTACACGGTGTCTTGAGAGGGCCCAGCTGAGAACTAAGTGACAGAACCAAAATTCACTTGCATTTGCCTAAACATTGATGAAAGGAGGGACCTACCCAAAATAAGTGACTACTAAAATTTAAAATATCAATTAAATTACTTAGATTCAGTTCTGGAATATGGGCACTCCTGGACTCTGCTCCTCCAAGCTTCATTACTTTTGGCATCCAGCAAACAAGAGAATCGTGAGCATGCATGCTACCTGGAAAATAGGCCTTGTATTGAATTGTCTCATTCATAATATAACTGTCATGATGGTCAAATAGCAAAGAAGACTTAAATTCAGGAATAATAATGATTACTAGCATCCTCCTCCTCAACATCATTTCAACAAGAAGAAACAGTACTAGAAAAATGACTCAGACACCTTCTCTACTAAGCAAGTTATCCAATCACTCTGGTGCCCATTGTTGGAACCTGGGTTAGACATGCGAATAGACATCAAGCTTGGTCACCTTGCCCTCATCCTTCAGGGCCCCATCCTCTCATTGCTGTGCTTCCCAATGCTTCACAGAAGCCAACTCCACCACCCAGAGTCAAATGAAACAAAATCAACACCATCTTCCCACCTGAAATGATGGTTCTAAAACAACAGATGACATGGAATTACCTGGAAATCTTGCTAAAAGTGCAGATGCAGGATCCTATGGCAACATATTTCAATTGAGGAGGATCTAGGGTTGCAGCCTAGAAAACTGTGTTCTAACATGCATTTCTGGTGTGGTCTTGGGACTACTCCAATAGGTTTGATCATTTTTATGAAACATATCAAATATCTTTTAAAGGCAATGAAACAATTAGATAGTTGATTGCACTGTACTATAAAACACACTCACACAAACACAAGCACACACACACAAACCAATAGCTTAAATAAAAGAATACTCCAACTAAATAGCTAAGAATAATAGAATATTTAGATCTCTTTTTTATTGAGATATAGTTGAAATAACATTATATTAGTTCTGGTACAATATAATGATAGGATATTATGAAATGATCATCACAATAAGTCTAGTTAATATCCATCACCACACATAGTTACAACTTCTTTTCTTGTGATGAGAATTCTCAGATCTACTCTCTTAGCAACTTTCAAATATGTAATACAGTATTATTTACTATGGAACCCATGCTGTACACTACATCTCCAAGGACTTATTTATTTTATAACTGGAAGTTTGTACCCTTGACCACCTTCACTCATTTTGACCCCCTCCCCAGACCTCATTAAAAAAAAATGGCATCTCATTTGTACAGTGCCCAAGGTCATTCCACATGCATTATCCCATTTGATCCTCCCAACAGTCTTTTGAGAGCAGTTATTTTCTATGTTACATGTGAGAAAACAACGACGAAGAGGCTAAATGACTTTCTTAATATCATTTAGCTAAAAAGTGAGTGGAAATCCTGAACTTGAACCCAAATCTTCCAGCTCCAACTCCAGTGTTCTTCTCAGCACACTTTGCTTGCTTTGGCAAGTAAATGTGCATGATCAAATCTGCTACATACCAGGAAGACTTTTTCTTTCCACTGGCATTAATGTCATTTTATAGCAAGTAAAAAGATGAAAAAATAACCAATTTTAGGTTCTTACGGAGCCTTCTTCCAGGAAAATAGAGTTTTCTCAGGAAAAAAAGTGAAATGTCTGCTAAGTTCCAGTAAGCAAAAGAAAAGTAAGAGTTGAGCATACTAGAAAGTATCCACTTCAATTAGCTTTATTCTGCTGGCTTTATTGTTGAAGTTCAAGAACACAAATCTAGTCGGAGCTGGCCTGGTGGCATAATGGTTAAGTTCACCGGCTCCACTTCAGCGGCCTGGGGTTCTCAGGCCCAGATCCTGGGCATGGACCTAGCACTGCTCGTCAAGCCACACTGTGGCATCAGCCCACATAAAATACAGGAAGATTGGTACAGATGTTAGCTCAGCGACAATCTTCCTCAAGCAAAAAGAGGAAGACTGGCAACAGACGTTGAGTCAGAGCCAGTCTTCCTCACACACACACACACACAAAAGAACACAAATCTAGTCAAAGGAGGAATCAAAGGGAAGACATTTGTATTTATTATTTTTTAAGGCACTTAGTAGGCTGGCCAATTACAAATGCAAATAAACACCAGCCAGGATGCCAGGAGGGGGACTCAGCAGTTGAAATTGTCCTCCTCGTTCCATCTTTCATAAAGAAATTATAAAGTCACTACCCTCCTTCTCCACGCGGTGGAGGGACACAGTATTTTGGCTTTGGAACGCAGACGGATGGGAGGAGCCACGACGTCAGCAGGGGCGGTCCGGGAAGAAAGGCCTCCGCTTAAATGCGCCTTCTCCATACTCAGCCGGGTGAGCCGCCTCCAGTTTTCACCTGGGAACCCTTGGAGGGCGTGCTCTCAGGCCCCGCCTCGGACTCCGACATGCGTGCTGCCTGGACCTCGCAGGAACCAGGACTGCCACCTCCAAGCTAGTTCCCATCTGCTCTAGCGTCACCTCCTGGGCCTGGGCTCCGAAAGGAGTCCTTTTCAGCTCCCCTAAGAAAGAGCCATCAGTCTAAAGCAGGCCTCTCAGTTTAGTCTGCACACGAATCAGCTGCAGATCTTGAGCAGCTCTTCTCCAGCAGATTGGGGTAGTGGGGCGGGGGTCTGGGAGTCTGCTTTTCCAACTAGCTCCTTGGAAAATGCAGACACAGGTTTTTAAGATCTGATGAAATCAAAAGTGTAGTACGAATAGAAATCAGCAGATGAAGCCGTTGGTCTGAGGACCACACTCTGAGCTGCAAGATTATGACAGTCCTTCCTTTTGCCTTGGGAATAGCAGTGGGAAAGGTTCCCAAATCCTGACAGAAATCCTCAAGAACCGAACTGCCTCTCTGTGACTGAAGAATTTGCAGGCCCCTTGTCAGGTGTGTGGCTCTGGGAATCCAAAGTGAGCGGGAGGGGGCCTGTTGAGCCTCAGATCTAAGGGGAGCCTTCTCACCACATTGCCAGCTTTTCCTTCAGGCTGGTCAAGCGGAATCTTAGGTTAGTGATTTGAGACCATTTTTTTCTTTCCCAATATAGGTTTTCATAGCTATATACTTCCCTGTAAGCACTGCTTTAGCTTCATCCCCTACATCCTGAAGTGTTTTCATTTTCATTCAGCTCAAAATATTTTCTGATTTTCCTTGTGATTTCTTCTTTGACCTATGGGTTATTAAAGTTTTTTGGTTTAATTTCCAAATGCTTTTGGATTTCCCAAATTTCCTTCTGCTGTTGATTTCTAGGTTTATTCTACTGTGGTAGGAAAAAAGACTTTGTATGACTTTAATCCTTTTAATTTTATTGATATTTGTTCTTTGGTCTATCCTGGAGAATATTTCATGTATGCTTAAAAAGAATGTATACTTTGCTGTTGTTGGGTGAAGTGTTCTATAGACGACATTCACGTTAAGTTGGTTGATAGGGTTGTTCAAGCTTTTATATCCTTGCTGATCAGGGTTATCTTTTACAAACATAAAACAGATGACCTCATTCATATAATCCTCTGTGGCTTTCCATCAACCTTGGAATAATATCCAGATTTCTTCCCACTCCTGCCTATTGCTATGTATTCATCATGTAACACTCTTCACTTTGCTCAATTAATTCAATGAACATGTTAAAGCTATTGTCTCCTGTTAGTGATGTCAGATCAATTATAAAGATAATTAAGACAGTGTGGTACTGGTGCAAGAATAAACAAGCTGACCAGTGGAACAGAGTAGAGAACAGAAACAAACCCACACATACAGGATCACCTTATACATGACAAAAATGAAAAAATGTAGGATAGTGAGGAAAGATTGGTTTTTCTCAATAAATGGTACTGGGACAGCTGAAAATCCATGAGAAAACTTCTACCTTAAACCTTATATTACACTATTAACAAAAATCAATTCAGTAAGATTTCAGAGTGAAAGGTAAAAAAACAAAAATGGTTTTAGAAGAAAACATAGAAGAACATGTTTATGATCTTAGAGTAGACAAACATTTCTTAAGCAAAATATGCCAACCATGAAGCAAACAACTGGTAAATTGCATTATATTAAAATTAAGAGTTTCTTTCCATCAAATATATTCTCACAACACATACATTCAACAAAGCACTTGTATCCAGAATAGATATATTTTTAAAAACCAACAAGTCGATACACAAAGATAGTTCACTTGATAGAAAAATGGGCAAGAACTTGAACAGATATTTCATGAGAGGACAAAGGCCAATAAGCATATGAAAAGTGCTCAATCACCTTAATAATCAGTGAAATGAAAACTAAAACCCCAGTGAGATACAGCTACATGCCTGACAGAATAAAATAAAAAAGACTGACACTACTGAGTGTTGGCAAAAATGTGGCGCAACAGGAATTGTGGAAACTCTTTGGCAGTATCCAATAAAGCTGAACCTAATGTACCTACTATGACCCTGCAATTCCACTCCTAGGCAGAAATGAGTACCTATGTGCACCAAAATTCATATACTAAAATATCTGAAGCTAGAGTACTATTGATCATAGTTCCCAAACTAGGAATGAACCAAACATCCATTGGATAAATATGTGGTTTATTCACATAGTGGAATACTATATAGCCATGAGAACAAACCATGTACAATTACATGCAACAAAAATCTCGCAACACAATGTTGAGTGAATATGCCAGATACAAAAGCATACTGTTTGATTCCAATAATATAATGTCCAAAAACAGACAAAACTAATCTATGCTCTTAGAAGTCAGGATAGTGGTTACCTTTGGGGAGGTAGTAACTAGAAGGGAGCATGAGGGGAGCTTCTGGGGTACTGGTAATATTGTTTGTTGATCTGGGTGGTGATTGTATGTGTTCCATTTGTGAAAAATCACTAAGTTGTTTGTATATATGTTACACTTCAACAAAATGATTTGCCTCTGCCTGGACAATCAGCTCAGACTAAAGAAATAATTCCTTCTCTCTTGGCCTCCCCCTTGGCCACTCCTAACTGATCCTTCTAAAAGGTGAGGGTGAGAGGACAACCACCTCCCCCACTCTGCCCCCTAACATACACACTAAACTAGATTTGCTACAGGTCTGGTTGCTGAAGGAGCAGGTCTAACAAATGTGAAATCCAAGTCTACCTTTGCCTCCTGCCTGGCGACTCTTCAATTTTTCCCCTCCTCCCCTAGTAAGCTCAGGTGCCCTCCTGCTCTGTGCCTCAAAGCCTCTTACTCACGACTAACTACTCCTTTCAGGGGACATTTAAATAAGTATCAAAGTTTTGAACCAGAAGGATGGAGCTCCAATAGTTAACACTTCAAGCTACAGGTAGTGGATGGGCGAGGAGGCACCTGAACCTTTCTAACACCCCTGGAGGTAAATAACATGCCTCTGGAGTGCAGGCCCGACTTGGGGGATAAGTAGTGTTCAAATCTTGGCTCTGCCTCGTGCAAATTTGTATCCTCTCTGTGCGTTGGTTTCCTCATCATTAAAATAGGAATACTGGTGCTTACCTTATACAGTTGTTATAAGGATCAAAATGAGTTAACACATATAAAACATTTAGAAAAGTGATTGACATATAAGGTAGCAGCTTAATAAATATTAGCTGTCAACTTGGCTTTATCAAAGGTATGTTGTCCCCAAGGAAGCATGGTGCAGGATGAGTCCAGGGACCAGAGGGCTTTGGGGCCAACCCAAAAGTCTGCCCAGGCAAACTGAGGAGAGTACTCCTGGGTAGGCACATCTGCTCGGTATTGCAGTGAGGAACAGGCACACCTGCTTCGGGGCTAAATGGAAGCTGAGGAGAAACTGAGGACAGGATAAGAGTTGGCTGTCCTCCAACCTCCATCCCCTATAAATCTGCTAAATAAACACATCACTAAATAAAGAAGTGTTGCAGTCATTGCACTGATTGCCTTTAAACAATCAGCAACATTGCTCTGGCAGAGGGTGGGAAATGAAGAAACTTCTTATCAGGTGTGTAGTATTCCAGAGAACTACAGCTAGGGAGGTGGTGACATCATACACTTATGCGTCCTATTTGACCAAAGAGCCAGCAAACGCTGCAGGCATTTGATATAACTTAAACTATAGGGCCCTGGTCCCTTGATCTGGCCTCTACTTTGAAGACCCTGAAGAGACCTTGGCAGTGACTGGCTCACGATACACACAAAGCCTGAGGTAGACAATGAAAAGTTTATCAACAATGAAAAACAATGTTCAGTAGCTAGAATATTCATACTGGCGTTTTCTCCCTGTAGGCAGACCTGTATAAGAAGCCAAATCTTCATTAGAAGGATACTTGAAGACATTTCAAAGTAACATAATGCTCAGCAATAAACTAAGACAGGCTGAAGAATACATTCCCAGGAGAGTTAATGGGACTGGAGATCTGGACATCTGATAGCTGACAAAGCTTTTTCTGCCTCTCCATTGCTCATCAACAACGCACCCTGCTTCTAAACCTGTCTCACTTGGTACACCTCTGCTCTGATGCCCTCTTAATGCTGTTAACACAAATTTAGACAGCAATCTAAGGTCTTCAGTTTCCAAGTTTGGGGAAGGGGTAAGCTAGGAACTGTACTGACAACCCACCTTTCAGAGTCATTACACAGATTAGTTCACGGAAGTCAAAATCTCTAACCAATGCCTTCTCTCCCAGAAGGCAAATTTCTTTGGAGAGTCACATTAGAACCAAAGGCTTGGGAGCACTGAAGGAGCAGTCACTACCCACAGGCTTGCAGCAGTCTGCAGTTTAGGACAACTTCCCTTTGGAGGCAGCTGAAAATGGCCAGCTTCTCTTCCGAAACACCGCAGCTATGTGGTGCCTTTCCTTTAGTATAGTCTAGGCCCAAAGAATTCAATTTGAGCGTTCTTAGCCATACCACAATCCAGCCATGTTCCCAGATCAATCCTCCCAATCTCAGGTTGTGTCCTTTCCGCAATGGTTGATTTGATCTTTATTTCTACTCTTATCCTCAGAAGACAAACTGGATGACATGTCTGGGAGTGCCCTGCACCGTGAACTTCTTAAATCACTGACCCAACAGCGAAAAGCCATGCCCCTCTCGTAACAGTTACTAACAGTCTTGAATGGAAAATCACCAAATATTTAGACTGCAGTGTTTGTGGGGGTAAGTCCTACCAGCTTTTACCTTGGTGATGGGAGATGGTGGGCAGGGACTATCTTTTCCTAATAGTTCTTCTTGAGTCACTGCCCAGACCTTAATTGCAGAAAGGAGACATCAGGGAGTGGCGGAAAAGCAGAGAAGGCCACAAGGCCAACAAAGCTCAAAGGAAAAGGTAACAGCCAGAACTCTGCATCCTCTGAGCATGGCTCTGTGCCTCACCCGCACACGCAACAGCTTGCTCAGACCCCAGAGCCCTGCTTGCTCCATTCAGGCTCTCTATGCTCTTTTCTACCCACTGAAGGCCCTGGGGACTCCACTTTCCTTTTCTCTCTGCTTTGTATTACCACCACGTACTCCATCCTTTGGGGGAGTCTTCTCTCTCCAAAATTATTCATGGAGTAGAAGGAGCAGAAAGAGGCTAAAAATGTTTTATTACTTGCTTAGAATTAACTAAGACATTAGATGAGAATAAAGATAGGAAATAATAAAGAAGCTTTTCATACTCTACCAAACAATCAAAAATACTTTCTGGCACTTTCCCCGGAACTAAAATGAACCTGGATATGTAAGACTAAGACCTCACCCTCCCCTTCTCCCCAGCACCACTACCAAATCTTACCTAGCTAACAGCAGCCACCATAGTCAGAAGTACCATTATTTATTTCCCCAAATCACTTATGGCAAACCACTACTAAGGCAAAAAAGACTAAATTTCTGTAAACTGGTAACAGTTTGGAGACTGGCAGATTGCAGAACGAAGAGAAGTTAAGTAGCCTGTGTTCTCTTGCTAAAAGATTTACTACTCTAATACCAGGAACAATCAACATATATAAACGAATTAAGAGACTACACTTTTTAACCACTCTGGATAATTACAGAAAGCAATGTATTTTTAAATATGCTTTAAATAAATGCTTTTAAAACAATATGCAATAACTGCTCTGCTTTGCTCTTTAAGGTTTTCACTACACCTAAAAAGTGGCAAGTTTCCTAAATGGTGATGTCAAGTAAGGACGAGAGTTCACCCAGGTGTCAGTTTTGCGAGAGCAGTCAAGCAAGAAGCCAAGGCTGACAATTTTAACAGTTCCGAAACGGCAAATACAAATTCTGAAGGGTGACGAGACTCTGGACTCTAGTGTGCAAAGCATGATGCTGTACTAGAGGAAGAGGAGCTGCTGCTTTCTGGGCCGAAGAGGGGAAGGGATCTATAGCACGTAGTGCCGAGAACCTAGATAGAACACTGGGGAGAATTAATCTGAAGTCTATCAGTTTCTTTTACAGTCACATCTTCCCATTGCAGTTCCATACATAAATCTGAAGAAAATGTGCCACAGGTTTACATGGGAGAGGTTTTCATTAAATCTTAAGAAAAACAACTATAGCATTTTTGTTCAATGAAGAAAGGTAAATCTGTCTAATTACATTCTTGAAACCTAGGAACATTAATTGCTATGGTAGGAAATTCTTAAGAGAAAGAGAAAACCCCCCAAATCCAAAACAATTCTATGCTGGCATCTATACTGTTTCTATTCAGCTCCAGAATTGCATCATATTAGCAAATAAAGTATTATTTATAACTGGCTAAAATTATAGGTAACTTTTATGACCATCTAAAATTTAGTTTTAAACATAACTTTAGCAATACATATTGAACACTTACATTCAATTGTACAGAACACAATCCATTTAATCTTGAAAAACACCATATAACAAAACTACAGAAATGATCACAGACACCTGCAAATCAGTATGCTCCCTCACCAATTTTATAACTGTAATAAATTTAATACTGTAAACAAACATTGAACAAACCAGAGCACTGTGGAAAGAGTTCAGCGGCTGTAACAAGTCATATTATAATTTTTATGAGCTGAGAGAGTAGAGGCAAACGGAATTCTTAGAACATTACTTAAAAATAGATTTTTAAAGACAAAGGTCCCAACTCATTCTTATATACACACACAAAAGTTCATCTGTCACAGACAGCAAATGTTGAATTTAAACACTGGAGTTTCTGGCAGCATCCTGCACATTTAGAATAATTAAAATAAACAAATAGAAAGTTGTCAAATCTCTCTAAGATGGATCATTCAAATCTGTGTAAGATGGAACATAGCTGTTCTGGTGCTACTGCGTATGTGCTCACTGCTGCTTCTCAAATGCAAAAACCAAGTAAATACCTAAAAAGAAAATAAATAAATGTTAGAGTTTGGTTTCTCATATCCTCAGAGTAAACAGAACAACAATTTCAGCCCTGTTTGTAATTTGGTGAAAATTCTTAGGTTCTCAAGCAGCTTTTGAAGAGGAAAAATTCCATTATTTCTAAGCATTCCTCAGTTATTTTAAGTCATATTTAAGCAGATATGGGATTATATGTTTACTCGAAAACATCCACTTACTATAAGACTCAGTGACATCACAGTTCTTGAGAAAACCTATTCAACAGCTAAACATCTCTGAAAAGTTTGAGGTTAGAAATTTTTTTTTTTTTTGAGGAAGATTAGCCCTGAGCTAACTACTGCTGATCCTCCTCTTTTCACTGAGGAAGACTGGCCCTGAGCTAACATCCATGCCCATCTTCTTCTTTCTGTGGGACGCCTACCACAGCATGGTGTGCCAAGCGGTGCCATGCCTGCACAGGGTATCCGAACCGGTGAACCCTGGGCCGCTGAAGTGGAACATACACACTTAACCACTGCACCAGTGGGCTGGCCCCCATAAGCAAAGAAAATTAAAACTAAAAAAATCTTACGACTTAATTTTTACCTGGAGCGAGACCAGTACACTAAGTGCACTACTATGAGTACTACTGGCAGTGGGACTCTAAGTTTTCTATTCAGAAAAATTAAGAAGAATTATATGGAACATACAATGTGCATGGTAAAATTCATCCAATTATCCAATTGTGTTGTAGGGCCTGGTGAGGAAAGTGAGCCAAAAGCCACATGATAATCAATGCTTACAGATATTATTTATCTGGCTTCTAAAGTGATATTCCCGCACGTATCCAGCTCCAAGAGTACTCTCCCTAAAATGAAGTTTCCTGCTTTCACATGTGTTCATGCAAAGACATCTAAATGTGTCTATGGCTCCCCACACTGAATCACACTGCAGTTCAAATCTACAATACCTTCTAAGATACCAATAGATTTCATGGTAAGAAAATACTGACAAGATGACAAATCCTCAAAACATCACAAGGATGTTCAGGGCTCACGCTAGAACATTCAACCAGTGAGTCAAGAAATAGGCCATGTAACTGTAGAGTCCCTCTTGAGTTAACTTTTGAATAGGGGACAGGTGAATGACTGCAGACCACGGAACAGCCTCCCGATCCTTCACCTTTTTGCCCTTCCAACCCAACCTGTACAGGAGATCCATACCAGTCTTTCCAAAATACTACATTGGTCATGCTATTCTCTACTCCTTATCTACTAGTTCCTGATTTCTCTTAGGAGAAATGAAACATGGCTGGCAGTATAGGAAACAGGTGGGCAGAAAACAGGCGGAGTGATCATCAACACTGTAGATTCTCCTAGAGGATAAGGAAGTAGATGATAAGGAAGCAAACAGTCTAAAGCATTCACAAGGTTGTTAGGAGACTTGGGAGAGGCCAGCATTACTGAGCTTGCCCTGCACTCCAAGGGAGGCTTCTGTAGTCCAGCCCTGCTGAACCCACCCCAAACACACCCATATGTCCTGCAAGCAACCTGGCAGCCTGTCCCATCCTGCCCTCATCTAGAGTCATTTAAAACCACTAAGAAGCAGTGTCTAATTTCAGGTAAGTAATTAGTAACTTTCTTTCCTTTCTAACTCAAACATTCTGAAAGTCTCACTCATTATATAAAATGTCTTCTGTGCAGGCATTTCCATTGAGATTTAAAGAAACAAATCTTGAACCACTTCTAAAAGCCAATTAGCAACAATTCCCTATGTTCCTTTCATCTTTAAAGCATCCTCTACAGAAGCAGCAGGCTTTGGTAATAAAAGTTTAATGATTAGACCAGTAGGAGTTTAAAACATAGCTTCTTACACTTATTAGACTGTGACACCAGGCAAGATACTCTCCTGCCCATGAAGTCCTCCAGTTGAGAATAGTGTAACTTATCAAAGAGCAGACTGACCTCGAATGCTAGATCCTGACTGCAATTTGGCTGTTGCTCCTTTCCTATTGCTTTTCAAATCTCTAACCCCTCTTTTCCTCAACTGTCTGGGGCTATCTAATTCTTCACTTGCATGTAATCACTAGAGTCCACATTTAATATAAAAATACAGCTCTGAGCCACAACTAGTATCACCATCACAACCTTTGACCCAAGCTGTTTTCTGCACACAGTATTCTGGGATTGGCAGGATACCTAAGATAGCTAGCCCATCTCCACTCTAGGAAAAGTAATGAAATACGTAGCTTTATGCACACACTTCTTAGTTTATGAAAGAAGATTATGTCTATAATATATCCTCTGATCCCATTTCTACTAAGGGTACCAAAATTCTCAAACAGGCTGCGAATTTTGGCCCTATTTATCTTCTTTCCTCATTGTCTCTATCCAATTTAGCAAGTCCCAAGAAGTTTTCCTTTCACATGAGCTTCCGTGAGGCCATGGTTATGAGTATGGACCACGTGGGTTAGCTCTATGACCTCAGCCAAGTTATTTAACTGCCTTCTTACCCGTGAATAGTCTACTTATAAAGTTGAGAGAATTAATTGAGTGACAACATATGAAAAGCTTAGAATGGCGCCTGGACACATGTTAGCCTCTCCTTCACCTATTTTTCCCGTTACAGTAACTTTAGCACTTAAAACAGTTTGCCTAGTGGTGCATTTATTTGTGTCTATTTCTTCCATTAGATTGTACACTTCTGGAAGGCAGAGATTACAACCTGTTTACTTTTTTAGCCCCCAAAGCCCTTTCACAGAACTTTATGTAAGTCAACATTCAATGTCCATCAGATGGATTGTCTTTGATTACCACTTACGCCTTCAACACAATCAACAAATATTCAAATGAACAGCGAGAACTACCTTTTAAGTCCTCAGGGCAACCATCTAAGGGTATTATCATCATCTCAATAGTGAGGCTCTGAGAGCTGAATTCCTCAACATCCACTTGCTGAAGAACCACAGGACTTCACAGATTTACCAGGCGTCTGACTTCTCTTTCAAAGACAGGAACCTCACTTCAGAACGTCTTTGTATCATGCCTGTCCCCAATCCCAGACCTTTCTAAAATATCCTGCTCACTGCTGCTTCACTAAGTGTCCTACTATCCATCATGGCTTCACTGTGAACATCAGAGTGGCCAGAACAAATAAAATACATGGAAGTGCTGTCTAAGCCAGAATGTACAACAGAATCTGAGGGGAAGACGTCACGTACAGATGGCTACGTAGTAATGGGCAGGAAAGGAAATGTTTCAGAACACTCATGCAAGTTTATGTTAGGCAACGTTCTGCATGTATTTTCTCTTGGCACTAAAGAGCTGTGCAAGAAAGGGGAAATAAGACATATGTAGGGACTTTGTGTAAACTAAACCATACAAACAACCGAATATTTGTCAGAAAAATTCTAAAGTTTTCAGATTTTAATGATCACTTTGAAACAGTCTTTGAAAATGTCAATACATCTGCACTGATGATATACTCACTTGTAGCTTCCCATTCTGATTTACTTAAGGTTCCCTAAAATTAAAAAAAGAAAGAAAATCTTAGATTGAATATGGAAGTACATATTATGCTTATTTTTCAATAACGGACAGAAGTGCCCAAACAACCCTAACTTTGCTACTAATACATATACAATTACTGTTAATATTATTGTGATCCGAACCTATAAAATAAGTCAATAAGATTAACCTTTAATGCCATTGTCTCACCAATTCTGCCCTCCTGCAAAATTCTGTAAACTACTGATTCTCAAAAAAAGGGGTAATTTGAATAAAGAGGGTATTCATGTGTGTGTGTAACTGGAAAAAGCATCTATCTTATATTTTTAACTTGGAAAATAAAAAAAATAAAAAAGCCTATCTTAAAACATCACATAGCTCCACAGGAGGGAATAAGATTCTTGTGTTTTTACAAATGAATCAAAATAAAGTACCCATCATACAAAGGAAATAAATGATACTTAAAATAGTTATCCAAATATTAAGAAAAAATTTGTTATAGTAATGTGTGTGCTATTTTGCACATGCGTTGACTAATAAGATATAGTGGCAATTCTAGTAACTAATGTAATTTTGAGGAAGTGATGAATATAAACAATATTCTACGATGTCAGCAGAAATATGTTACACAAGTATCTGTAATTTCTATTAATGACAAAGTCACAGCTACAGGTAATACCACTGTGGTACTGCGGCATTCATAATTAAAGAAAATGTGAACTTCCACGTAGAAGTCAGTGAAAAGGAAAATGTAATTTTTTCCCATCTATGTTGATGAGCCTCTGAATTTTATCTATAGAACACTGTGAGTCAGCAGTGCCCAGGTTAAGATATAACGACACAGCAAGGAACTCTCAAACCAAGCCTATAACTTTTCCCCCATCCATATTGCCTCAGATCTAACACTCCACTCTCAGTTCACTGAAGTACATTTTATTCTATATTCTAGGGTTATAAAAAGTCATCACTAACTTAGGAGAAACAAACTACTGTGTATCTGATTTGCAACTCAGTGAACCCAAGAATTATAAACCAGTGAAATAATTTTCTAAGTTTCCATATACTCTATGCTTGTTTTCCCATTTTCTATTACATATGTCAAAAAACGAAAACTTACCAAAGGCAACCTTACTTGACTGTTCTTCATGTACTTTGCTGCATGTTCATAGTCATCTACCTTATCAGAGGCAAGTCTGGAATTCTCATTTGCAGGATATGGCTAGGGAAGCAAGTGAAATTCCTAGTTAAGATATTACATTGAAATTTACAATTCAGAATGAAATACACTAAATCACTGAAATAAAATAAGACAATAATCCCTGAGTATTACTTCAGGAATACAAACTACACATACTTTTGAAATATGAAAAAAAAATGAGTGGAGGGAATCCTCTCTTAACAAAGCAGCTCTTATGGTCAACCTTGATCATAATCATAGAATATTTACTATTGGACTAATCTGTACCATTTAATCACCACCAAGGACCACTTAGCAGCAAACACTTGAATCTCCCTGACTCCCAGTCAAAGGCTTTTTCTGTTACAACACAAAGCTGAAGGAAGGTATTATCAAAAGAGCTGCAAATTAATTTGAATATTATGGCAGTTTAATAGCCAAGGAAAGCATGACTAGCAATTAGAGAGAATACAAATGAAAAACTCCAGTCAAGAGGGAACCCTGCAAGTTCAAGAAGATAAGAAAAATAATCCAGCCTCCAAAATATAGGCAGTCTCCATATTTCCATAGGAATCTGAAAAAGGGCCATAAAAAAATGCTGGTTTTTTTAGGGTATGCTGGCCAAATGTTTATTCAAATTATCTCAAGCACTATTTTTAACCCCTTTTAAGTAATATCTCTTTATATTATCAAGAACAGTGCTTTGTAATACATGTAAATTTTAATAAATTACATAGACTATTTAATATAACTACCACCTACTCTACAAAGGTTATATATTCTTTATACTTTTCTTTGTCTTATTACAACAAACCAGATACCAAGGAACCACTTTAAACCTAGAGCTCCCTGACGAATTTTTAAGAAAATGATCCAGAAATGTCTACTTTGCTATCTTCTTTTTTCCTTTTCTTTATAAATATCCTACAATAAGCTGAGGAATTAGAAATTTAGCTGTTTGCTGTTTAAAAAGCATTTGGCTTTTTGGACTTCCATACTGTTACCATTAGCAACTTTACTTTTTATTGTATCTTAACACAAAGGATATAAGTAAGAAACACACTTAGTATCACTAAGCTTTTATGAACTTTCAATCCCACATCTGGTTTCTATCACATCACAAACCTTCAAAACTTTAATTTGAAAGTCTGCCAAACTATTCTGTTGTAAATTTGCTCTTCACTTATCAGTGTAAGACTCCTCCATGAGATTATTTGCCTGTCCCTGGACATCTAGTTTCTCTCCCCCTATTGATCATTTTAAAAGACCAACAGGCCAGCCCGGTGGCGCAGTGATTAAGTGCGCACGTTCCGCTTTGGTGGCCCGGGGTTTGCCGGTTCGGATCCTGGGTGCGGACATGGCACCGTTTGGCAAAAGCCATGCTGTGGTAGGCATCCCACCTATAAAGCAGAGGAAGATGGGCATGGATGTTAGCTTAGGGCCAGTCTTCCTCAGCAAAAAGAGGAGGATTGGCAGCAGTTAGCTCAGGGCTAATCTTCCTCAAAAATAAATAAATAAAATAAATAAATAAATAAATAAAAGACCAACAACATATGATTATAAAGCTGCAAAACTAACTTCTTTCAAAACTTGCTAAAATGTACATCCTGTTAACTGTCTCCTCTTAAAGCAGTTACTTTTCCAGAACTGTTCCCAGGTGAGAAGAAAGAAAACAGGTGTGAGGACTTTATTAACTACAGTTCCTTGGCTTATGTCTTTTCATCTTTCCTTCCCTCTGCTATGATGCTCCAGATCAGGGCAAAACTTTACTGGTTCTACTGCTGAAACCCTGGGCCAGCTGAAGGCTGACAGCTTTAGGAAAAGACTTTTAATAGCAAACATCAGAAAATAGATGCATTTAAATCTCCAACCTGGACTAAGGCAATAGCATCCTGACTGTTCTTTCTGCTCTTGGCTTAACATCCCTCCAAAGCATCCTCCATACTGCCACCTGAGTGACGCTCTCACTCTTGTTGGGTCATGTCCCCTCCAGCTCAAAGTCCTTTACAGGCCTGTAAAAGTGACTTGGTGAAGAAGTAGGAAAAACTAAAGGACTTTTTCAAACTACACATTAATACTACTCATGTATGTCCTCAGAGAGCCACAGAGAAAGGTCACATCCTCAAGGATGGTACTAGGGAAGAAGGAAGAGTGGAGAACCACAGTGCTAAAGAAACACTGAAAGTTACCAGCACCTCCTCAAAACACTCCCTGCTCTTTCCTGGGTCTCTGCCTTTACTCTTACGGTCTACTTTCTGCCCAAAAGGCCCTTTTATACACTCACTGCACTTTAAATATTTCTTCATTACTGCGATTCTCACATTGGACTGAATTATTTGCTTGTATGTTTATCTCCTTATAATATACCATAAGATCCTTGAAGGAAGCTGACCCATCTTCAGTATTTACTGAGCACCCACCATTGAAAGTTTCTGTACCAACTAGGTGCTACAGAGTCTAATTATAAATAATCTGTGTAATTTATATAAATACTGAGTGTCTACATGGCCTTGAAAGAAATCTCAGAAACAGCCAAACAAGTTTACCATGACCTTCCATTTTTACACCTTTTCTAAATACTTACCTCCAGGGCCTGCATTCGTTTTAACAGCATTTTATTTTCGTTGTTCTTAATCTTTTCTTCATAGAATTCCAGAAATGTTTTTTTGTAGACTAGTTTCATATTGTACTTCTTCGCCATTCTATCCAAAAAAGATTATTTAATGAAAAGGCTTCCAAAATATTTGCAATTCCTCAATAATTTACTTTCTACAAAACAGTGACATCTTCTGGGCTTAAATATAAAAGCTACCATCTCCTTTATAAATTCACAATAGGATGATGCAAAATGAACGCAGAGGGGCCGACCCCGTGGCCGAGTGGTTAAGTTCACGTGCTCTGCCTCGGCGGCCCACGGCTTTGCCAGTTCAGATCCTGCGCGTGGACATGGCACCGCTCATCAGGCCATGGTGAGGCGGCATCCCACATGCCACAACTAGAAGGACCCACAACTAAAATACGCAACTATGTACTGGGGGGATTTGGGGAGAAAAAGCAGAAAAACAAAAAGTAGATTGGCAACAGTTGTTAGCTCAGGTACCAATCTTTAAAAAAAAAGAAAAGGAAGAGCAACACACCAATAACCATGCCTCTAAGGAAACATACATTCTAAAACTAATGGGTCACAGGTAGCGCTCTCTATCAATGTACGTAATAAATAGGTCAGGAAGTAAAATGAAAAGCTGTGAGATGGGGACGAAGTGCTGTAAGAAACACTTTTCTATTGATTCCATTTTATTTAACTTGATCCCTCACAGCAGCACGGCAAATAGCTGCCAATTTCCTTCTTAAAATATTCTCTGACACGATACACTATTAATTTTTTTTTTTAAGATTTTATTTTTCCTTTTTTCTCCCCAAAGCCCCCCGGTACATAGTTGTGTATTTTTAGTTGTGGGTCCTTCTAGTTGTGGCATGTGGGATGCCCCCTTAGCGTGGCTTGATGAGTGGTGCCACATCCTCGTTCAGGATTCGAACTGAACCTGGGGCCGCCGAAGCGGAGGGCACGAACTTAACTAGTCGGCCACGGGGCCGGCCCCCTACACTATTAATTTTTATCCTACATCTTGGACTGCTGCTTCGCAGTTTGTTTTACAGGTTTCTCTTACCCAAGTTCTAAGTTTTAAGGTTCTGAAGAGTCTGGCCCAGAGCCTTACTCATTTTCACTTCCCTGATGTTACATGGAAGGCTAACAGCTACCTGTTGCTCAACTCTCTCTTGTGTCACACTCATTTATTCCACCGCTTCCTAGACGCCTCCACCAGGATGTGTCACAGGCATTCTCTAACTTTCCACTTCCATATCCAAGGCTGAACCCCACTAGACTGTTCTTCTGCCAAGTTTTACTATTTCAGTAAATCCATCTTACGATTCCTGCCAGAAACCTCAAAGTTCTCCATGCCATCTCCCTCTCTCCTATGACCACTGTGTTCAACATGCCACTACGTCCTCTCCATTTATCTATAAAATGTACTCCAAAGAGGTCCACTTCTTACCCGTTCATTGGCCCACTGTCCTGCTTCAATCACCATCACCACTAGGCTGTGCCAGTTTGCTTGTTTCCCTGCTTCTGTTCTTACTCTCCTTTAATGAATTTTCCAACTGCAGCCAGAGTAAGCCTTTCAAAAACACATCCACGTCACTTCTCTCCTTTACACCCTTCACTGGTTCTCCAACACACTCAGAACACACTTCAAAAGCCTGTAATATGGCCTCTGAGGCACTCATTTATAAAGAAATGCTGCCTCGACTCGAGCCACTTGGGCTCTGATTCCTTAAGACCCACTCACAGTGGCTTTCCTTTAGCTCCTTAAGTAGCCAAGCTCTTTCCCACTTCAGGGCATTCACACATATTGTCCCTTATGCCTGAACATTCTCTCTTCCAGTCTTCAACTGGCCGACTCCTAGTCATCCTTTAGATGTTGACTTAAACATCACTTCTTCACAGGTGGCTTCCTTAAATCCTCAATTACATTAGATTTGCCTGTTATACTGGGTTTTTTCCCTCACTGCATTTGTCAATGTTTATAATTATGTATCTGTAGGCAACATGAGGGAGCATGAGGGAACATGAGGCAACATGAGGGATGATTTCAGGAAGCAGACAGAGGACGAGAGGAAGAAAGGGGAAAAAACTCTGAGAGGGAACATGAGAGGGCTTGTGAGGTGACAGCTGAGGAGAGAGGGTGAAGGGAAACATTTGAGGGCCACTGGGATTTGTATGTGAGAGGCATATGTAAGGCAAGATTCCCTGTAATTTGAATTAGCCCTCTTTAGGGGCCGGCCCGGTGGCTCAGTGGTTAAGTGTACACGTTCTACTTTGGTGGCCCGGGGTTCCCCGGTTCGGATCCCGGGTGCAGACATGGCACCACTTGGCATGCCATGCTGTGGTAGGTGTCCCACATATAAACTAGAGGAAGATGAGCACGGATGTCAGCTCAGGGCCAGTCTTCCTCAGCAAAAAGAGGAGGATTGGCAGCAGTTAGCTCAGGACTAATCTTCCTCAAAAAAAAAGAATTAGCCCTCCTTAGAAAGACAATAGGAGTAAAGACAAAAGTGTCTTCTATTCCAAGCAGTTCATTTTCTATCACAAATCTCCAAAATAAGCCCTTAGAAATGAATCTAAGTTTTACACCTAAGAAAGACCATAATTACAAAGAACAGAGACTCAATTTGATCAATTTGAATAGGTTTGCCTTATAAAAGCGAATTATACTTTTGTTGGGTTTAATGAAATCGTAAAAGGGCATCTCAATAATCCCTATGCATTTCCAGATTCTGTTTCACCGAATGAATACCTGTTTCAATAAATACTTTTTAAAAAAATTTAGATGTTAAAGTGATGACTCATGACTACCATCATTAGGCAGTTTAAAGTACAAAAGATTACTGCTGCTTGCTTAGCATTTAAAAGCACTTCCATTATCTTTTTGGGTATACTCAAATTACCAACTTTGACAACCAAAAACACCAAGCCAACATACTAAACATATGAAACAACATACTCAAAACGTTTATTTAATTTCTTCTTTTATAAAGTTGAAGAGCAATAACACTTTCCAAAATTTTACTAATTTTAAGGAAAAAAAAGATTTAAATTTTTCAATTTTACAGTTTATAAATAGTCCATGGTATTTTCCTCATGTTCAGTCACATGCTACTTAATTTTCTCACATCATCGTATAAAATTATGTATTTTAGAACTCCTGAAAATCCTATACTCATAATTTTACAAGCTAACAGACACACAATTCAAATAACCACCAACCAAAAATAACTAGAAACTATAGCTCTTCTTTTTCCTCAGTGAATTGAAGACTTTTGATTTTAAAAAGTAGGAAATCAAGTTCAGCCAACTGTGACCTGGTCTACATTTAAGTTGACTCTTCCACTCTGTTATCAGGGAAACTCCCAAGGCCAAGATGTCTCCTAAGGCCTTGAAGCCCCACCTGATGAAGCCTACCCCAACTTTCCCTGTGTCTATGGTTTGCCAGGACTCCTAGGAATTCAGGCGCATGAGTGAATACATTCCTGAACCAGGGTTTTATTATCAACACTGCCTGTGAGACACAGGCAATTTCAAAGATATAGTGAAATGTCAAACAACTTTCAATCCCTGTCAAAAGGAGGATCTGTGTTTTATGAATAAATCTGTGATTTATTCATTTTATATTACCAACGCTACTAGCAGTTACTTTAAAAAAAGAATCATCTGTTATTTGCAATGTCAGGTACTTTCTGCCACAAGTTGAAGACAATAGGCTCCCTTTCTTACCTACAGGATAAAATAATTCCAGGAATGAAAGAAAACTAAATAAGTAAGGCTGTAAGAGACCTACGGCACCAACCCTGCCTTTGAGGTTAGTCTTCTTTTCAGAAGGCTGTACCTTTTCTTTAGGTCCCGTTTAAAATAAGGACTAAATAGAAATACTGATTTTTTTTCCTTTTCTTTCTGTCTTAAGGCAAAAAGAGAATAGTAACAGATTAATGACATTCTTACTCATTTAGCAATGGAAAATAGACCAAGAATTCAGGGACGTCCACAACACCTTCCAAGTTGAAGTCATATTTGCAGCCAAATAAAGGATAATCTCCTTTCTTCTGAAATTTCACAGTATATATTTCATTTCCAAATGATTCTGTTTCTGAAGCTTCAAGACGTCTTCTATAAAGGTTATCCCCAAACCAAAATAAGTAGGTTAAAATTATTAGCTCAGACTTATTTCAATGAGATTACGCGTGTAAAAAAAAACTACATGATGCAATTTAAAAAAGACACTTGATTAACTTTTTAAGTGGATTTGAGCCACTTTCCAGAAGCAATATACTAAAAGATCATTAACAATCTCATTAATAAAATTAGGCTGGAAGTAGGTTTCACTATCACAACAGCTGGTTACCTCTGCCCCTGTATGTGGATCTGGAGCTTGTCTAGCACTACAACCTCCAGCTCAATGTAACATCAATCTCCAACTTACACATCAAGACGTTTTAAAGGTTCACCTGAAAAATCTGTTTTTTGAACTTAAATTCTGAATACCGATTCAAATATACTATCAATGTGCTCAGCCCTTAGAAGATCAACATAGCATGTTTTATAAAGTCTATTTCTGATAAACATTTGCTACTTTAAAATAAGCTTAATTCTGAGTACTTTATAAACCACAGAAGTACTTACATTAGTTCAAAGCTATTGGGAGTGGTGCCAATAAAATAGCCTCCAGGGCTCAGTCTCTCACAAGCATTTCTGAGCAACATGTCAGCCTGCTCATAGGACTCAAATGAGTAATGACAGACAAACTGACAACTGCAGATGTCAAAGCACATTTTTGGGTCTCGAAATTTGTCAGTCAAAAGTTCCTGAAACAAATTAAAGTGGGTCAAGATTTTGAACTTAACTGCAACACAAAAACTTTTTAGTAAATTAATTTCTAGAATTAGTATCCTTAAAATAAAAGTAGACATGCCCTCCCACCAACCTATCCTTTCTCTCATTATGTATAATAAAGGTCATAAAGAAATCATTCTTTCATTCTGGTTCAACAGAATTTGATTCCCATTTTCAGAGTACTTTTAAAAAAACTAGGGATTCTGAAATCATGAGAAAAAATACATCCATCAAATATGACATTTAAAAGAGTTCATCCTTTTATTTGGCTTTACTTGAAAGCTAAACTAAAATGATATTGCACAGTAACTTGGGTTACAAGAAAACACAAAGCTGTCCTTTGGGACATTTTTTAAGAACACAATTAAGTGTTTTTAAAGGTTTCTAACCTTCTAGCAGTATACTATCACTTTTCCTTCTCTACTTTCACAACTGCAAACAAAATGTGTAGGATTAAAGGTACCTCTAATAGTTTAATGAGCTAACGAGTCAGACAAACAACATAAAGTTCAAGGTAAGACTTTCACCATTCATGTCTCTGTAGTTCTTAAACTTCACAGTTGTGAAGAGATTCAGAAACAGGTGGAAGGTAGAAAACACCAGACTCTGATATGTTGGGAAACTACTCTAATAAATTATAAGGTGAACAAAACATAAGTTCAATTCTATTTCAAAATACTGGAAAATAAATCTTGTCCAACAGAAAAGCAATAAATGATTCCAAAAGTTCAAGTTATTAAAAGCAAAGAAATTCCCAGAAGTACTCAGTGGGTCATTTAAAGAAATTTATCATTAATAGATTTTCTAGTTGAAACTGAAAATACACGTCGTAAGGTTTTTAATGTTTCAAAGCACATTTTAAAAAAATGAGCTGATTTTTAAAACAAAGCATTTATCCAAATGGAAAATATAAAAAATAAATCAACAAGCTAAAAAAAATCCTGTACCTTTGAACAATCAGCAGTTATAAATTCTGCATTGAAAATATATTCATTATCACGACAACGATTTTTCATGTCCTCATACCGCTGCTGACACTGTTTGACAGAAACATCAGCGATATCTGCAAGGAGGATGGGTGTTAGTAACTGTCAACAAAGACCCACAGAGATAAAATATAAATGCAAAGATGACACAAATCTAGACATTAATCGCAACTGATAAACTCTGGCATGAAATCAAGCCTTAGTACAAGCAAAAAGCTTCTATTTCCTTCAAAACAAAAGACAAAAAACTCTTTGTTCCAATGCAAATGCCTTATTATTTTTCAAAAGGAATTAAAAGCTTTCTCAATAGGTACCGATAACAGAAAAATTGTATCATGATTTTTAAATGCTTATTCAAAGTTAAAAGTAGAAAGTTTAGATTCCAATTTGAATTATAAAACCTGACAGTATATGCCTACTTTTGAAAATATCACGTTTATATTTTCTTAATAAAATGTTATTTGCCTTTTTCCCTGTGTTGAGATTTCCACTGACAGTGCAAAAGCAATGCTGGGTACCATGGTGGCACCTTATCATGAGTACAAGATAGTAACATCACATGGTACTGGTAATTCTTGCTATATTCTTCACCACTATACACTAGCATGAAAAAAAAAAGTCAATTTCATTTAAGAATGTCCTTGACTGAGCAGTAAAAATTTTATTACATCTTGGCTCTTGAATACATGTCTTTTTAATATTCTGTGTGATGAAATGGAAAGCAACAAAACATTTCTACATAGTAAAGTTTGAACAGGACTGGTGTGACTGGATTGTGAGCTACACTGGCCACTTTTTTCACAGAAAATTGTTTTCATTTGAAAGAACCACTGACAGACAAATTGATTATCCAGACTTATAATCTGGCAGATATTTTACTGGAAATGAACAAAGTGACCCTGTTACTTCAAGCAAAACAACAGACAGTATTTGTTACCTATGATAAAATTTGAGCTTTCAAGTGAAAATTACAATTCTGAAAAACGTGTACCTACCACCATGGCCTGGGCATCTTCTCAATACTTAAGACTTTTCTGAATGGTGGTGACATTAAACAAATGTGATTTCTTGATGTCAACATTTAGAAGATCTGCATAACTTTAGTGAGCATTATTTTCCACATATTATTAAATCTTGCAGGGCAAAAGATCCATTCAAAGTGCAAGATAGATCAATGGATTTAAATCTAACAGAACACAAAAAATTCATTGATATGGTTTCAGATTCCACACGGTAACTGACCTTTAGGGAACTACGACTTGCCAAGTTTTGATGTAGTATCAAAGACGAATATCCTCAATCATCTGAAAAGGCTATTAAAATATTCCTTCATTTTACAACTACTTATTATATAAACTACCACAACATATTGAATGCAGAATCAGTTGTGAGAATCCAGATGTCTCCTATTATTCCAGACTCTAAAGGGATTTGAAAAATATTTTTAAAATGCCAGTCGTCTCACTACATTTTATTTTTTAATGAATTCAAAATATTTTTAAAATTCTCAGTTTTAATTTCTATAATTAATAGATATAACCACATACAGAAAAGCTTTCTGGGGTCCTCGGTCATTTTCAAGAGTGTACAATGGTCTAAAATCAAAAACTTTGAGAAGTGCTAATTTAGGCAATACTTCATAGGGGGTGGTGTGCACATCCTATTATTCGTGACATTGGAAAGAACACGACATCTGCTTGTTCCACTTCAGTGTTAAGACTGACCAGTGGGTTCAGGTGCTTGATTAACTCAGTCATTAAGTTCCTATCAACATTTCACCTACTGTTTTAGCATCTTTTTATGATTGTTGCTTAGATCTATTATTTCATCAAGGGTGGAAAAATAGCGATTTTCATTATTTCTCCTGCATTTATTTATTATACTCTTTCAATAAGGAGGAATTTCCCTTTTCAACCATTTGTTTACCTTGAAATACATAGTTCATATAGGGTGGGCAAAATAAATACTCAACTCTCCTGCCCCCACTTAATTTATGAATTTCAGAATAATAAGTTTCCTAGCAACCTCCAAGGGTGAACAATGAGATTTTTGCCTTTATTTGATGTGGTTCAATCCACTGTAATCACTAGTCTTTTTTGATGATGAAATTGTCCTATCTCCGGCAAGAGGAAGCCTTTTTAAGTATGTGCTTTAGACATGACTCCAATTATTTTTCTTTGCTTCTTTCCTTTTAGGAAAGGCAAGTTATCCCAGGCTCATTAACCATATTATAACATCATCAGTAAAGTCTCATAACTCGTTTAAAAAAATATACCCATTTTGTGTGCAGCCTCCAGATATCTTTTTGGAAGACATTTTAGTGTCATGTTGACAATGAGATCCTTCTTATTCTCCATTTACCTGACCGACCACAAATTATACTTTCCCACACCATTATTTATCTTACCAGTACAAACTAGCTTGTTAATTCTTCCCTTTTTCCACTTGAGCAAATCTCCACCTTTACCACATCCCAGGTCCAAAACAGTGATATCACATTTTTTTTTCTGTCGCACCTTTTCTAAAAATTCCCCTAAAAGAGAAATAAGTCATAACAAATTATCTCTTCTCCATTTTTCTAAAGCATAAACTGTTACCCCTAATAACCTACTAACTTCTGCCTGACATATAAACTACTACCACACATTCATTTATGTAATTAATTCATAACTTTTGATAAGCTAAAATATGACTTTTTGATAAAACAGAATATGACTAACAGTTAATTAACTTGACCCTGTAGCTTTAAAGATGAAAGAGTATATGTCTGGTACTTAAGAAAGTTAAGACAGGTATTTGAAGGTTACTCTAGAATTTGATTCAACATTAAATAGCAGGCATTTTAAATTTTAATTAATACAAGAAGACAATATTTGTGGAAAGAGAAAAAAACAATTATTCATGATTTTTTGTAGTTTTCTCTTTCTAAAGCTAAGTGTTCAGCTAAGTAAATCAAAATAATTATGGGATCATACAATTGCTTGATTTTCATAAAACCTGTAAGGTTTACCCCAAAAGAAATACAAGAATTAGTCAAAAAGCTATACATACCTCCTATTTTTACTATAATCAGAATTCCTAAATACTCTGAAGTAAAAATGGGATCTTTTAAAATTTATTTTATTTTTCCTTCTTCTCCCCAAAGCACCGTAGTACATAGCTGTGTATTTTAGTCATGGGTCCTTCTAGGTGTGGCATGGGGGATATTGCCTCAGCATGGCTTGATGATGCACTCAGGATCCGAACCAGTGAACCCCTGGGCCGCTGAAGCAGAGTGTACAAACTTAACCACCTGCCCACGGGGCCAGACCCCAAAATGGAATCTTTTATCCTATCCACTTCATAGGTGGCGGTGTGTATGTCCTATTACTCATCACACTGGAAAGAACATGACTTCTGCTGGTTGGGACACTTTTACCCTAATCTATCAAATCACATTAATAGCCAATGGATAATATCAGTAGGTCCTCATACATCAATAGCCAAATGGTTCAAATATCAGTTAAAGGAATATTAATATTCTTAGACAACCAAAGTATTCAGCAATTCTAAAACTTGGTACAATATGAATCCTAGATCTACTCTTCCTATCTTTATTACTCTGAGTTTAACTCTTTTTTACTTCATGTGTGTACTATTTTGACTGCTGGAACATTCTATATAAATACTTCTACCTTTCACTGTCTATAGAATCTTAAAGTAATTTCGACAGAAGCACAAGCATTCCGTATGTAACTTTCTGCTATGACTTTTAAGAAAACAGCATAAAAAATAATACTGAAAGAGTGAAAAACAACAATAATTATAAAATCTCTTTATTTCCACACAGTAAGACTAATGAGAGAGGACATCATTGTGAAATTATTCAAAGATATCTTTATCACACTTAAGAATAGTACTCAACTAGTTACTGAGCTCTAAGCACCAACAAGAAAGAGAAAATGAATGACAAAGAATGGGTATTGAGAAAAGAAAGTAAAAAGCCATACGGGGAGCTTGGCACAGACCAAACTGATTACATCAGCTCCAGAAAGACAGGTGCATACAGCAAAGCACCCATTGAGAGCTGCTGGAACAGCTGAAGAAGTAAATACCATGAATATGCTCAGAGAAATTTTTGCTAAGTCTGACTTAAGACTTTTTAAAAACTACCTGTTTTCCTGATTATAAAAATAACACAACTAACAATATGGAAAATATGGCTGAACTTAAAGATATTTATTCAATAAATACATGAATATGTGAATGAATAAATAAATACTTCAGAAAAAATACCTAATGATAAGTTATCTGCATTATGAGGATGATGAGGAAGAGAAAAGCTGGAAATTAACTAAGACTAGGGTTCCCCTTTATCACCACTCTTATTTAACATAGTTCTGGAGGTCCTGGCGAGAGCAATCAGGCAAGAAAAAGGAATAAAAGGAATCCAAATGGGGGGAAGAAGTGAAACTCTCGCTGTTTGCAGACGACATGATCTTATATATAGAAAACCCCAAAGAATCCATTAGAAAACTTTTAGAAGTAATCAACAACTACAGCAAAGTTGCAGGGTATAAAATCAATTTACATAAATCAGTAGCATTTCTATACTCTAATAACGAACTACCAGAAAAAGAATTCAAGAACACAATACCATTCACAATCGCAACAAAAAGAATAAAATACCTCAGGGTGAATTTAACTAAGGAAGTGAAAGACCTATACAATGAAAATTATAAGGCTTTTCTGAAAGAAACAGATGATGACATAAAGAGATGGAAAGACATTCCATGCACATGGATTGGAAGAATAAACATAGTTAAAATGTCCATTCTACCTAAAGCAATCTACAGATTCAATGCCATCCCAATCAGAATCCCAATGACATTCTTTACAGAAATAGAACAAAGAATCCTAAAATTTATATGGGGCAACAAAAGACCCCGAATTGCTAAAGCAATCCTGAGAAAAAAGAACACAGCTGGAGGCATCACTATCCCTAACTTCAAAACATACTACAAAGCTACAGTAATCAAAACAGCATGGTACTGGTACAAAAACAGGTGCACAGATCAATGGAACAGAATTGAAAGCCCAGAAATAAAACCACACATCTATGGACAGCTAATCTTCAACAAAGGAGCTGAGGGCATACAATGGAGAAAAGAGAGTCTTTTCAACAAATGGTGCTGGGAAAACTGGAAAGCCACATGTAAAAGAATGAAAATTGACCATTCTTTTTCACCATTCACCAAAATAAACTCAAAATGGATCAAAGACCTAAAGCTGAGACCTGAAACGTAAGGCTTCTAGAAGAAAATGTAGGCAGTACACTCTTTGACATCAGTATTAAAAGGATCTTTTTGGACACCATGTCTTCTCACACAAGGGAAACAATAGAAAGAAAAAACAAATGGGACTTCATCAGATTAAAGAGCTTCTTCAAGGCAAGGGAAAACAGGATTGAAACCAAAAAAAAAAAGCAACTAACTGGGAAAAAATATTTGCAAGTAATACATCCGACAAAGGCTTAATATCCATAATATATAAAGAACTCACACAACTCAACAACAAAAAATTAAACAACCCGATCAGAAATGGGCAGGAGACATGAACAGACATTTCTCCAAAGAAGATATACTGATGGCCAACAGGCACATGAAAAGATGTTCATCATTGCTGATCATCAGGGAAATGCAAATCAAAACTACACTAAGATATCACCTTACACCCATTAGAATGACAAAAATAACTAAAACAAATAGTAACAAATGTTGGAGAGGTTGTGGAGAAAAAGGAACCCTCATACACTGCTGGTGGGAATGCAAACTGGTGCAGTCACTATGGAAAACAGTATGGAGATTCCTCAAAAAATTAAAAATAGAAATACCACATGATCCAGCTATTCCACTACTGGGTATCTATCCAGAGACCTTGAAGTCAGCAATCCCAAAAGTCCTATGCACCCCAATGTTTATTGTAGCATTATTTACAATCGCCAAGATGTGGAAGCAACCTAAGTGCCCATCAACAGATGACTGGATAAAGAAGATGTGGTATATATATACAATGGAATACTACTCAGCTGTAAAAAAAGAACAAAATCGTCCCATTTGCAACAACATGGATGGACCTTGAGGGAATTATGTTAAGTGAAATAAGCCAAATAGAAAAGGACAATCTCTGTATGACTCCACTCATATGAGGACTTTAAACCTGTGGACAAAGAGAACAGATTAGTGGCTAGCAGGGGAAAGGGGGGGTGGGCACAAAAGGTGAAGGGTTGCACCTACAACATGACTGACAGACAATAATACACAGCTGAAATTTCACAAGATTGTAACCTATCATTAACTGAATAAAAAATTTAAAAAAATTAAGACTAGGGTTCAAAGATTATCTTAAAAGTCTAGACTAAAAGTGCCATTAATAACTACCTTACAAAAAAAAGAAGCTGACACCCACTCAATTACCCTAGCTGACACCTGGCAAAATCAAATAAATCATACTTTTGTTAATAAAACATGAATATCGGGGCCGGCCTGTGGCCGAGTGGTTGAGTTTGTGTGCTCTGCCTCAGTGGCCCAGGGTTTCGCTGGTTCGGATCCTGGGTGCAGACATGGCACCGCTCGTTAGGCCACGCTGAGGTGCCGTCCCACATGCGACAACTAGAAGGACCCACAACTAAAAAAAAATATATACAACTATGGACTGGGGGACTTGGAGAGAGAAAAAAATAAAAAGATTGGCAATAGTTGTTAGCTCATGTGCCAATCTTTAAAAAAAAACAAAATGAATATTAAAAACAAAAGTGAGAGAGAAAATATTAAAATGTGTTTGAAATAATGAGCCTAGTTCTCACTCTTTAATACTTGTCAGAATGGATAACCTATCTTAAAAAATTAGTAAATTATCATCAAAACTAGTAGAAAGTACCCATAATCGGCACTTGATTCTTCCCAGTGTACTCAAGAAAGCGTTCTCACTTTTCCTGAGTGAGGATGACTTTTAAAAAAACAGAAAACCTTATTGTGAAAAGCTTTAAAATACACTGGCTTTTAAAAATTCTCTAAACTCGGGGCTGGCCCCGTGGCCGAGTGGTTAAGTTCGCGCGCTCCGCTGCAGGCGGCCCAGTGTTTCGTCGGTTCGAATCCTGGGCGCGGACATGGCACTGCTCATCAGACCACGCTGAGGCAGCGTCCCACATGCCACAACTAGAGGAACCCACAACGAAGAATACACAACTATGTACCGGGGGGCTTTGGGGAGAAAAAGGAAAAAATAAAAATCTTTAAAAATTCTCTAAACTCATGTGAGAGACTGACTACTTAATGTACTAGATATACAAAGTAATAAACATATTCCAAATCATATTTCCTCCACTGACTTCCATTTTAATTTCAAAGCTGAGTTTCCATAGATAAAATGCTGGCTCCAAAAAGTTAAATGTCTTCATCAATCTTCAAAGTAAACTTCTCTCCAGACACCGTACAACAAAAAAAAAGCTCAATGGATAATCAACACACAAGACCTTTACCAACTCATTAAAGGCCTTGACATCAAAAAGCATGGCACCGCCCATTTTCTTAATTTAATGGAACCTGAATGTTTAATCCAATAATATGTCTTTGCTCCAAAACTATTAAAGTAAAATATGATAATTACCTAATAGCACTAGGTAACCTAAATTCTAAGTATAAAAGAAGAACAGTGCCTTTTGAAAACCTTATTAACTTAACAACTTAGTATCAATTAAACATTCATTAATATACCATGTAGTCAACCAAAAGTAAATATGAAAAGAATTTCCATTTTATGATTTAGTTTTAGTTCTGGCTCCAGTTTTATAAGGCTAAGGTTTGATAATTAAACGACTAGGAATTAAAGACCTAGTAGCTCACTGTATGATTAACCATTGGGGATTTAAAAATGAGATATAAGCTGAAATAAAAAATTCCAAACTACAAATCAAAAACCAATCATACCAATGAGGACACTTTTCATCCAATTATTAAAGTTTCTTAGGTAAAAAATACGACTTTGGCTACGCTTCTCCAAACCAACTTCCTGAAGCTCATTGTAGTGGGCGGCCACTGCTGAGCTGTGTCCTTCTTCCAAGCTCTGAAAATAAGAAAATGGAATAAAATCAAGGATCAGAATAGGGCAAAAATAAGTCTAAAAGAGTATCTGACCTATATAAGGATAAAACACTACTGAAATTGGTAAACTTCATTAAGCAACGGCATTAACCACAGAAATCTCACTAACTATAATCAGACATAAGACTTGTTTTCCCCTATTCTCTATTTTCAAAAACACTTCTTAGTTTAAAATTTTCATCTTGATCTTTCATCTATATCATTTTGGCACCAATGTCTTATTAAAACCAGTACTCTTCCAGAGTTCTGATCTATTCAATACAATAAATGTCAGTCAGTGGATGGGGTTCCTACAAGAGAATAAAATAGGAATGTCACATTTATTATATTATTATAAAATTGTTGTGAGCATTAAATGAGATAATATACACAAAGGGATTAGAAGCCAATAGGCTATGTTCAGTGTCACTGATTTCTATTATCATTTGCTATTAACCTAATTCAACAGTTTCAATTTGTGCTCCCTACCTAAGACCCTAGGCATTCTGCAAAAATGCCATGGCAGCTAAAGGGCTTCCCATCCCCCTACTTGCCTGTTCAACCAAAGTGCTTCATCTTTTACCTATTTTACATATTAGGTTTAAGATTTTCACTTGAAAAAAGGATTCTGATGCTAGTAAAATTTTAAAATCTACATATATAATTCAAGCTCTTCTCTTCACACTCCACCAATAACAAATGCCTGGGCTATCTGCCACTTTCCTCTTCAGGGCTGATGGCAGAATTTCAGTCATTCATTGAAGTACTGTTCATCCCTCCAAATCTAGATTCTGCCTCAGATTCCTTCATGACATGATATTCTCAGATGAAAATGACTTGCTGTCACTTGCTCTATAACATCCCTGCTAAATATCAGGCTTTTGCATGTTCTTAGCTAAAACTGTAACTACCCCAAGAAGAAGCTGGGAACAAGAGTTTAAGGAATTACATTAAGAAAACAATGTAAAGCTGGGTATGATTTTTGAAATTCATCATTTTAAGTGATAATCTCAACTACTTCAGACACAAAAAAGGAGATGAACACCTAATAAAAAAGGAAAAAAGGTAAATCATCTGGACTTTATCCTCTGTCTTTTTTAAAACACTAAGAAAAAGCAAACTACAAAAACTAGCTTTCAAGTTCAACTAATAAGAGTTCCGAAAGAACATAAAAATTATCTCATTAAAAGTTTCACCTAAATAAAAATAATTACATTTCAAAAGTTTAAACTCTACTTTAAGAGATGGCATCTATTAAAAATAGAATATTCTTAAGATTATGTAAAAACCAGTATTATTTCACAGCTGCTCCACATTTCAATTTGACATATTCCACCACGAATAAAAGAAAATACATTGGACATACTTTTCGCTTTTCAGGAACATCCTCAAGTTCTATTTTTCTCTTTTTCTGAGTGCCATCTCCAATGGAAGGTCCATCTTTTGGAAAATCATCAGTGTCCATTCTTCTTTTCCTTGAAATGCCTTCATCATCACCAGAACCTTTTTCCTCTGGGACAATTTCAGCATCAAGCTTTCTTTTCTTGGACAGAGTGTCTTCCCCACAACTAGAACTTTCCTTTACAAGATCATCTTCAAACTCCATTTTCCTCTTTTTTGGTGTGTCTACTTGTCCAGAAGTAAGAGCCGTTTCAGAAAGCCCAGTCCCAGGAGCGGCCATGTTTTCACTACTACTCAATGAAGACTCCGTTTCCAAATCTAGTGATGCTTTTGCCTCTTCCAGAGAGATCTTTTCACATTCCTCTGCTTTTGCAGAATTTTCCATTTTTGATTATTTAAATAGATGGTAAAACTTCATGAACACTGGAATAGCAAAAATTTGACATTACTTGTAAACACTAACACTGAGACTTAAAATAATTTTAACCAGAAACTAGCCATTTAAGTTCAGCGATCAATCAGTTTAAAAAAAATCTCATTATGGAGAGAATATTGAAAACAATGTCAATTGATATATATTACATATAAATTTCTGAAGATGCTAATGTGGAATACTACTTACAACCCCCGAACATTTCTACATCTTATCCATAAAAGTCACCATTGGCATAAGAACTGACAAATGAAGTGGGGTTATTGTACAAGTACTGGTTCCATTTCTATTTGATCCTTACTCTATAGCTTCAGTTCCCAAATTGTGTGCTGGACACTACAACAAACTTGTACAGGCAGAGCAGGATATTTTAAAATTTTAAGGGAAACACAGTGTGATCTGACATCTGGAAGATATCACAGATTCAGCTTCAAGTAGAGCAGTTTCAACCCAGCAGACTGCACTACACTCCTTTCAATGACATCAGCACTTTGTGAAGCTGAGATGTTCGTGGTACCATAGAAAATCAATGTTAAACAGGAAATGAAGTTGGCAGTGTTGAATCTGATTTCAAGGCTTGAGAAGTTGTACAGTACCCAACAGGTGTGCACATTATGCACTCGAGGTTAAGAATTAAACACAAATATTATTTTTTCTTACAATTTGTGTATTATTTTTAAAATAAAGTTGATAGGACATAAATACTTATTAAATTCTTTGGACTAAACTACTTAATAAGTGGAACTATTAGGTTCTTTTGGCTAAAGACAGTAAGGGCACCAAGAACAGGAAAAGTCTCGGAACCTACAGTTGACTTCTGAAATCCTTATTTCCTTTCAGGTGTCAGAATTACGAAGAAAGTGAAGAGAGCAGAAATGGCTTTGGACAGAAATTTCAAGACCCACTCTGCACTAAATGACCACTAAGCCTCTTTCACATGTTCCTTCACCTATGTGTAAAATGGGAGGGGGAGAGAAATAAGTAAACTATCTATTGGACAGGAATTTATTAAGTCATTCAACAAATTTACTAAACTCCTACTACACAGGAGCTCAATGAAGCACTTTGTGAATCAGTCTTCAAAAAACTTACAGCTTATATACCACTTTTTTTTTTTTTTTTGAGGAAGATTAGCCCTGAGCTAACATCTGCTGCCAATTCTCCTCTTTTTGCTGAGGAAGACTGGCCCTGAGCTAACATCCATGCACGTCTTCCTCTATTTTATACGTGGGACGCCTACCACAGCATGGCTTTTGCCAAGCGGTGCCATGTCCGCACCGGGATCTGAACCAGGGAACCCCAGGCCGCCAAAACGGAACGTGCGCGCACTTCACCTCTGCTCCACGAGGCGGGCGGCAGGCCCCCGGCTCCCTATAAACCATTATTAAAATGTTAGGCTGTGTTAGTCAAATCAAACGAAGAAGGGAGAGCAAAAGCGCAAAAATTAGTGAGATTCAGCAAATTCAGAACCTGAAAGTTATGAAGAGAGAGAAAAAGTCTTTTGAGTAAAGAAACAGAATAAGAAATAAAGTTGCTTGAGGGAATGGGTAAAAACAAGTCACCATAAACTGGGAAGGATTTCAAGGGATATCAGCTTTCACTACCCAAGGTCTGAGGTTCAAAATACCAAGACGAGCCAAAACAGGAAGAACTGAAGAAGAGGGGGGAGAAAACCACCCAGAAATGTAATTTTTAGAATAACTACTTAAAATGATTATCTAGTAAAACTGGCCACTGAATTATCAAATCCCTATCTTCTCCCTGCCATTTATTTCCTAATAACGAAATGGAAATTGTTTTTAAATTCAAATAAACCCATGTGATTTATCATCTTCAGCTGTAATTATCGCCTTAGTATTGCGAATAAGAGTGAATTTTATATACATAGGCAAATCTATTTCCACAGATGAGATGCCAAAATAAACGACACAAAATTCCAAACGACCGCAGAAATGGGTAATAATACTTGAAACTGAGGGTCATGTTTGAAACTGAGCGTCAAAGTGGAATAAGGAACACACTCCCAAAGCAAGAGAGGTGCCCCTCAGAATCCTCCAGGAAGGAGCTTAGGGTAAAGACTGAACTGACACAGGGACGGATACGCATTAAACGACCAGAACGGCATTTCGATCTGGCTTTCCAGTCACACCTCTCAGCCAAGCCACGTCTCCGTCATCCCAGTTTCTCAGAGAACCGGAGAGCAGGGCGCGAGGGCCGCCGGGCTTCAGCTCAAGCCGGATAAGCTCTACGCCCCGACCCGCCAGCTAGACAGGGTCAACTGGGGGGGCCCAAGAGGACGCAACAGAGGCGAGAAGGGAATTCTGCAGCCGGGCTCACCCTCTTCAGGCACTGGCGCGGCCTAGCTAGAAACTCTGGCTCAGGTTTCCGTTCCGCCGCTCAAGACATTACAGACACTTCTTCGGATCCGACGCCCCCGCCCCAGCCCGCCCCTCGGCGCAGCCCTGGGGTGCGATCTGATACAGCTCTTCGGGCTTCTCCGGACCCGGGCTCGCTCGGTCTGGAGGAGCAAGAGCACCCGCCAACCCCCACAAGTATTGCCCATTCTGATGCGGGCTGAGGGCACAACAAAACTCTCGCGACGGGTACTCACTGAGGCACAGGGCTACTGCTAAGCGAGCCTATGTCAGTAGTGCCGTGCCCCTTCCACCTCGACGGCGGCGGAGGGCCTCAAGCCAAAGAAGAAAGGGAGGGCCGGAGCTCCAGGCGCCACACTCACCCATACAGCTATCCACGATTCTGTTTGCGGAAGCGGCGCGCCGCGCCACGCGTGTGTTGTTACGGCACTTCCGGGGAGTGCGTGAGTCACGTGACGCCACTCTTGGCGAAGAGTGGAGCGTTGCGCAACCTTCGCGCCGGGACTACGAGTCCCGTCGTGCCTCGCGCGATGCGTGCTGAGGGACACGCCGAGCGGACACGGGCGCTCGCGAGCACGTTGCTGGTGGGCGCGGCTGGCTGGGCCCGGAGTCGGGGAGAGAGTCGGCCTGAGCCCCGCAGGTTCCGGCGCCCTGACCCACGCTGCCCTCGGTCACTCTCCTGAGTGACACCGCCGTGGCATCTGAGGAGCTGTCGTCCGTCCTGGGCGGCTGGAAGCGGTGGCTGCCTCCACGTTTTAAGAGGTAACCTGGGCCCAAGACCTCTGGGGGGCAGCGGGAGGGGTCGAGAGGGCACCTTCAACCCTGTGCGCGTTGGGGAGCTGACCCGGGGCGCGAACCCGACAGCTGCGCGGCGCACACAGCTCATCTGGTTGTGGCGGGGGTCTACCAGCGGGGCGGGGGTCATCTACACTAGCCCGCCTCACTACCCCCGGCAGCCGAAAGAGGTCACCCCCGCCTTTCTATGTCGGGCCAGTGTCCTGGCAAATCCTGCCTTTGGAACTGTTTTTCGGTTTTCTGCTCTGTAACCCTTCACCCTGTGTTCTTCCCTCCCTCGGAATCCTGCTGAGGAGGGGCCTGGGAGCCCCGCCCTCGGAGTTTTAAAAATGAGCAACATCTTACTTCTTAGGGACTGGCAGGTCATTCCCTACCGCCATATTTGGGAAGCCATGCCATGCGTCCCTCTTTCTCATCTGTCAGATTCTGGAGAAGGGGCAGCCCATACCTATTCTTGAGAAACGTCTCAAGGTATAGTATTCTGTGTTGGCTGGACGTTGGTATGGGATGGTTGGGGGCACAACAATTTCTTTGTCCATCCCTCCAGCTTTCCACTGGAGAGTCGAAGGCACCTGCTATACTGAAACTCGAAAGCGCCATAGTTCAGGGCTTTCACCCCCCCCCCCCCCCCAGATTAGGGTCAAAACTGGACCTGTGGACTACGGGGATTGATGCGTCTGCATAGTATTAACGTTGTTGTGCCTCAGCACCTCCCCACCTTCAGGGTGTAAAAACGTGCTCAGATTTACAATCTATCTTGAATTAGTCTTTGCCAAAATTGGTCCCTTACAAGCAGCTTTGAAAATGTGCTTTACTAGCCTGCCTTCTTGTCAGTAGGCACAGTTATATTAATGAGTACACTTTGCTTTGGGGAAGGCAACGTTTGCAGCGTGTACTTTACAATCGAGTCACTTCCAAATTGTGGATATTAACCTTTCTGAGATTGTTGACCCCTTGTAAACTTTGGACCAACGGTGAGGTCTATTTTTAGCCATATATTTAGTGAGTCGTCAATTTCAGAGGACTGTACTTGTATTTTTTATTATATGCAGTGAGCTAGATTGAAAATTAACTTCAGTTTATGAATATGGACAGCCTCAAAGGTATAGGTCGTAGAGATTGGAGAGACCATTTGCATATCCAGGCATTAGAACCAGGCAATTACACAGCTCTTATTTGCTGCTTCTAATGCTAAAGTTTCTCGAGGTAATTGCTGTTGTAATTTCAGGGAAAATGAGTCTAATTTTGACTTTTTAAGAAACTTTTTCATTAGATTAAAAGCCTGTTAAGTATGTGTTTATACAGAGTCCACCATGAATTGATAATGTGCATGAGATAGGTGGACATCTCATTTTGTAGGTTTTATGTACTTAACTGGAAGTCATGGATATTCTGTTGAGAGTAGAGGAAGAATTCTTGCAGATAGTAATGGAGGGAGTAAATGGGCCAGATAAAAATGTTTTAAAAGTTAATCATTGGTGTTATTTTCCTCCATTATTGCCGGAGTAATATCTGGTTTTCTGGAAACTGAATTAAAGTAATAGCTAATGTTTGAGTATATTCTATGTGCTAGATTAAGTGCTTTACACATTTGAGCTCATTTAACTCTTACCTAATCCAGAGGGGTAGTTGTTATGATTGTTTTTGATTTTTAGGTGGGGGTTAAGTAACTAGGCCAAGGTCATGCAGCTGGAAAGTAGTGGAGCTAGGATTTGGATCCAGGCAGCCTGGCTCCAGAGAGGTAGTCTATGCTAATGATGAAACGGTGCCTGCTAGAACGCCAGACTCAAAACTGGAAGTTGGCTGGCACATAGTAGGTTTTCAGAAAATGTTTTGATACTTCTTAGTGGTTGGGTTATTATGTTCAGAGAGAAAATAGCTGGATTGTGATGTTATCTTGCTAGAATGTGAGCTCCATCAAGACAGGATTATCATTTTGTTCAGGGATTTAACCCAGGTTCCTTGAATAGTGCCCAGCACATAGTGAGTCCTTATTGAATGAATGAATCATCAAGAAAGGTTTTTAAAAATCCGTTTATTTTAAAGGACAGACAGGATTTATTTCAGCCCATTTAGAAGATTTCTTCATGTGCTGTTTTGAGTATTTGGCCCACTCACCCACTCACTTAGCCTGGTGTGGATTTCTCCTGGTTTGGATTCTACTTTGTCAGTGAGAGAAAATGAAGTAGTAACTTGTAAGTTTTCTGGTCAAAGTAAAGGCAAGCAACAAATTCAATAGATACCATCCCTTTTTTTAAGTCATTAGTTCTCAAGGTGAGAGAGCATGCTGAGGTGTAATTTTAGTGTGATTTCCGTTGTAGAGTTGAAGATCACATTTTTGAAACATAAAAAGTGTTTTTAAAATGTAGGTGCAATGTTATAACTTCCTAAGAATGGTGTTCTTCAAGGTAGGAAAGTGAGGTGGTTTATAGAAGGTTTGTTTCTCCAAACAGTCTTGGAGGAAGAACTGTTGCTCCCATCCACTCTCCAAAATGTCCCTGCTGAAATTTTACTGCCTTTTTGGAATACACAGATAGTTAACGATAAACTTTAAGAAGTTTTTCCTATAGTTGAAAGTAAGATTTGGTTGAGAAATCTGTAAGTTTATTATATGTGATGTTTAGTTTTGTGTATCACTTTGACTAGGCTTTAGTACCTGGTTATTTATTTGAACACTAATCTGGGTGTTAACTGTAATGGTATTTTGAAGATTTGTTAACATCTACAATCAATTAACTTTAAGTAAAGGAGATTACCCTCAGTAATGTGGGTGGGCCTCATCCAATCAGTTGAAGGCCTAAATTTCAAACAGAAGTGTCTCAAGAAGAAAAAGTTCTTCCTCAAGACTGCAGCATTGATTGCTGCCTGAGTTTCCAGCCTGCAGATCTGCCCTACACATTTGAGAGTTGCTAGCTTCACGAGTGCGTGAGCCAGTTCCTTAAAATAAATCTCTATATATTTAGATAAAAATAACCTAATAATAGATTTCTAATAGATAGAAATATCTTTATCTAAATATAGATAGATAAACCTAAAATTAGATAGATGTATATATTTTTTCTGTTGGTTCTATATCTCTGGAGAACCCTGTCTGATTCCGATCTTGGTACTGAGAGTGGCTCTGGAGGAATAGAATCTTAAGGATGAATTTTCTGAATTGGTTATGGCATGCTTGGAATTGGTTCCCTAATCTGATTAGTTTTAAAGGCACTAATGACTGTTTTCAGTGGTAAAAAGGACACTGATGGTCCATGGTGTCATGTGGCAATAGGGATACACAAAATATCCCCATTGGGGTTCTGGATGATTATGTATTTGATGACTTAAAATTTTTTGTCAAATTAACAAAAATAATGAGACTGTTTGCTGCTAACTGTGCTGGAGAAAGTGGGGAAAGAAAAAGATGAGCTCAGATCTTCAAATTCCCAGCTCGCGCTCTGCATAAATGACCTGAAATTTCCTTTGTCTGCCTAAAGAAACTCATATCCTGCAGATGCAGAGCTGAGATTACCGAAAAGTATCCAAGAGTCTCATCCTACAAAGTGGCTGAATCACAATGCAAAATGAATTCCCAATCTAACAGGGTGTCTGATGTTAAAACGATGACATTGATTGGGAAAGACTGAGATCCTCAACTGTAGAATGGGGTACTGAACCCCTGGATTTTGATGTGCTTTGCCAGTAGAAGCAGTGGTTCCACACTTGTTGAGAAGTTAACCCTGCTTTGCCTGGAGAACCTGTAGTGGCCTTCCCTGAAGTAGTTGCCTTGCAAGACCTTGCTGCTTCCCCTCAGGAACTACCCTTACCACACGTCTTTGCTTCTAGACTGTCACTAGAGTCAAGTCCCAGGGTCAGCTACAGAGTGGGACCCATGAGGAGGTGTGCTACACTCTTAAAAAATTGCATGATTTCTTTTAATTTATAAAGGTAGAAATCTGGGGGATAGGTGTGGGTAATGGTGGAAAGGACATAAAGTTTGATCAGGCCAAATTCATTGATAGAGGACCACTAAGCAGAGATTCTAGATTCACTGTTATAGCCTGAGGGATTAGAAAGGGCTCTAACAGTTTGGCTGGTTGGCTGAAGCATGGACCAAAAGGTGATCTTCGTTAAATAAGTTAAAATGCCAGACCTGCCTTGGTACACTGTAGAGGAAGGGATCCAAAGACTTAGGGAGATTGGAACGGATTTCTCATATAAGACCAGGTCACCCACTCTGCAAGGGTCCGGAGGAGATAGCTTTCACCATGACTGTGAGAAAAAAAGTTTGTGAGGAGAGCCCCAGCATCCATGGAAGAGCTCTATGATCACTCTTCTCTGTGGGTCAGAAATTACAGTGGGCCCTGCTGCTGCTGGACTGGGGATCCTTAAATGCAGTGAGGATAATTGGAAATTGGGCAGATATTACAGATACCGATTTTCTTAATGGCATATCTATGTGCCGAAGGAAAGAAGCCAGTGGAGAGGGCAGTTGAAGTACAGGAAAGAGAATAGCAGTAGAAAAATACAAGGAAAATGTGGTTGAGCAGAGTCTTGGAATAGAGAGGAAAGGATAGCTCTAGAACACACGATTGGCCTCTGAATGGAAGTTCATTTTCTGAGGAAGGAGTTAACTGATTCTGAGATGGATGTGGATGCGGGTAACTCTGGAAGAGGGAAGGCTGAAGTTGAGAAAATTCACCTGTAATAAGTTTGGTTCATTTTTAAAGGGAAGTGGGGAATGGTGCCATCTCATAGTTTATTCATTCAACAAATATTTTTTGAGTGCCTCCTTTGTGCGAGCCAGACTTTGTTTTAGGCACCTAGGATGCAGCAGTGAACAAGAAAAAAATCTCTGTCTTTGTGGGACCATAAGTGCTAAACACAGTAAGTAAATTATGTAGGATGGTAGAAGATAAGTGCTAGGAAAAAAGAAACAGCAAGATAAGGAAGATTGGGATGTTGGACTGGAAGAGAGGAGGGGAGGA